TATATATATATATATACCAGACTACCCTATATCTAGTAATCTCCCGACAATTCCCGAAGGTTCGAGAGAAGAAGTGGTGTGATACTAGTCACGTGACCTTGCTGACGCAACAATTCATTCAGGATTTGAAAGAAAAAGAATAAAAACTTTTGATTTTAGTGATATCTTTATATAATTATTAATAAAATGAAAATACGTCTTTCATCAGCTATAACAAATCCGTTTGAAAAATATCATAACTTAATTATTTTAGCAGTAAATATTTCTGAGATAATAATAAACCGTCTCAGCCTCAATAAATTCCTAAAGGCTATATATTGCCTACTTCACAGCATTATTTGCACAATTTGATCATGTTTTTCAGCAAATATATGGAATTCCAATAGGTGGCAGTTTGAGCCCATAAATTACTGATTTGAATTTATTTGAACATGAATTTTTACTCATAAGTAAACTCAGTAAAGAAAGGCAAAATTAAACACAGTAGTCTCACTTGTGTGTATAGTGATGATAGTTTTTGCAGAAATTTTGAGGCTTTTTTGATGCTGCTAAACTTAATTACTTACAAGAAATGAACTTGGAAAAAATTCTGTCATTATAAAGATAATACAGCATTTGGACTTGTGCCTAAGTATTGTTAATCAAACATTCAATTTAAGTTATTTTAATACGGCATACATTTTAAATTATAAATTTAAACTTTTTACATTTCCAACTGCAAATACTCTAGATAAGTTATGATAAGAGGCATGTTTATATTTCCAAGCTATTATACCCCATAGAATTTGCTGAACCTAACAAAATAGCACAGGCATAGCTTAAAAAAGGTTTCAAGAACTGTGTTTAAATACCAAGTTTATTGTATTTTGTGGAGCATATTCAATACAAATCTCGGTACTGTATCTGGGAATAAAATTGAGTGTTTCAGTTGAACAATAGATGATAATCCCTCATGTGAAGGACAGCTGTAGAAAAGTTATTTTACTATGTTACTAGTGGCTTTCTGGCTGTATACTTCCTATAGGTTCCTCATTTTTGTGTTTTTCCTAGCTATACCATATGGTGCTTTGTTTTGCAAAGGTGTGTGATAATCATGTAAAGTGAAAATCATTGCTGGTCGAGACACTATATATCCTTTTATAAAAACAACGATACAAAAAAAGCAGATACCTTGCAGGGCAAGCCTCTTTGTTACATGTACGGTTGGTACTGGGCATCAAAAGCGGGTCACATAAATATTCTGGAACTACTTTAAATCCATTAGTTCGTACACATCTGACTGATCGTCTCTGGAAACCTGTTCAGGACAGTAAAAGTCATTTATCAGATGTCACTGAATGAACAGGCATTACATCAAAACGCTTTTTTTATAAAACAGATCAGCACTTACCATCAGGAGATACAGTACTGTGCAAAAGTGTTAGGACAAGGGAATATTTTGTCATTCTTTCCAATTCATGGGGCCAATTCTTCCATGCCATTACAGAATATAAATTTCACTGACCCCTGTTGACAATTGAATGAGGCAGGCTGAGAATACTTATCATTCTTTAGAATTCCCATATACCTGTACCAAAGGCATGTTATAAGGGTTCTGCTTGAATGAACAAAATGATCAAGTTTAGGATTTGAAATAACTGTCATGGTACCCCATGTAAGGTCTTAACTATATAGAAAGAAGTTAGCAAGAAGCTAGCATATGGTACTAGTATATGCTAGAATAATTCAATTTAATAGCACTCCGCAAATAAACCTTTATAAAAACTATGTTTTACACTAAAAATTAAGTTCCATGGCCCAAAAAAAGCATAGAGAATTGTCAATAGAGCAGAGAGTTCACATAAAAGCTTTACGTGATGCTGGTTGGACTCTCCAACAAATTGCTGCAGACTCAAAATGCTCCCTAAATACTTTCAAGTACACCCTAGATCATGAGATCGAGACAGGTAAATTGGAAAATAAGAAAGGAAGAGGTATAACACCTAAACTCAATCATACTAATGTTAAGTATTTTCGTTTATGCAGCTTTTGTGACAGAAGGAAGACTGCTACTGATCTCAAGCATGAGATAAACTACCATTAACCAAATGATATAAAAGTGTCCAGATCTATAGTTACAAGAAGACTAAAAAAAGAATGGAATATTTGGTCATGTAGCAGTTAAAAACCTTTACTCCGATCTCCAAATATTGTCAAGAGAGTGAAATTTTCTAAAAAGTACAAAAACTGGATTGTTGAAGATAAGAAAAGGGTGTTACGGATGGATGAGTTCAACTTTGAAATATTTGGTTCAAAGCATAGGTTGTACATCTGGTGGAAGAAAGGTGAAAAATACTTATCTCAATGCATAGCACCTACCATGAAGCATTAAAACAAGGGGAGACAGTGTGATAGTTTGGGGGTGTTTTTCTGCTGAGGTGGCAGGAGATATTTGCAAACTAGATGGAATAATGGACCAACACAAGTACAATCAGATACTGACCCATTATGGTATACCCAGTGGTTTGCATATTATTGGTAAAGGATTTTACTAACAAAAAGATAATGACCACAAACACTCATCCAACCAATGTAGAAATTACTTAGCTAAGAAAGACGCTGTTGGAGCCATTCAAATGATGCCTTGGCCCCCACATAGCCTCAACCTCAACCTAATTAAGCAGATCTGGGACTTGATAGATCAAAAACTTGACAAATCAAAAGTTACTTCCAAAGAACCTTTAGGGAGTGTGTTAGAGACATTTGGAGTAAAATCCCAAAGGACATTGTGATTAAATATGATACAACAATGACTGAAAGACTGGCTGCAGTTATTAAAGCAAAAGGGGGACACACAAAATACTAACTGTTTGCTGAACTCAAGCACTTCCACTGAGTTTTTGTTCTACTAAATATGAAGATTAATAAAATTTTGAAGTTTTACCTATGATTTACATTCTATTGTTCTTTGAAAGGTGCCTGAAAATCTAATTTTTGACTTTGTCCTAACACTTTTGTACAGTACTGTATAAAAGTAAAATGCTCTTCAGAAGGCAGATCACTACTAACTATCAGGAGATATAAAAGTAAAATGCTCTTCAGAAGGCAGATCACTACTAACTATCAGGAGATATAAAAGTAAAATGCTCTTCAGAAGGCAGATCACTACTAACTATCAGGAGATATAAAAGTAAAATGCTTTGCAGAAACCAGAACAGCACCTACTATTACAAAAGTTAAAAATAAAATTTTTGGAAAAAAAGCAACCAAACTTACCACCACTAGGGGATAAGATTAAAATTCTTGGCTAAAGGAAATAAATGCTTACCACCACCACAAGTTCGAGAACAGGTTCCAAATTCCTCGAAAGTCCAGGAATACGTGTCAGGTTGAGTGCTTCTCACAGCTTTTGATACAGAATATTCATATTTGATACCAGGATTCTTCTCTTGATATAACAGCTGAAGTTACAGCAGGATATACAAATTTAGACTTTTACCATTATTAATACAATAATCTGATTTATATTTACCACTAAAATTTATATCCTGATTTTGAATAAAGGGTTTTAGATTACCATGTAATTCCAAATCTATCACAGTTGTAACATTAAGTTATCCATAAAAGTCAGTGACACTGTTTCCCCATTCTGTTTAGGTTTTTCACCTTAATTCTAACAATCGCATTTTTCTGGCACTGAATGAAAAATGCTCACTCAGTGAATCTATGTTAATGTTCTTTAATGTAAGCTGCAATTTTATCCACTTTTACCAATTCCAAGCTTCTTGTAATATATGTGCCTATACTACAGTATACTAAGTTACCCACTCAGCTAGAAGTGACTTGGTATCTAATTTTGTAATGTGCATTTTCAATTTAAATATGTACCTCCTGAAATTCTTACTTGTCCAGAAATATATATGTTACGTTTCTGATTGTTTGTTAATTTCTGGTATAAATTCTTTCCGAGGAAAATTCGGCGATACAAGTCCTTTCTTAATTAAAACTAGTTTATTCTTTCTTGTTACAACTTATTAGTTCACAGAATTTCCACAGTCACTTTAAACTTAACAACCTTTATAACATACACTATAAATGACAGTGGTTCACAAACTTTACTTACGGTGCCTACTGCTCAATGACTCAATTATCTATCTATCTCTGCAATTACGCTGGTTTTTCTCGCCAGGCTTATATACTAAAAAAAGAGGGCGTCTAGCAAACACTCGGTCATTCTCGAGGTTCCTCGATAAGTCATGATCTTTCTAGAATCTCCAGCGTGCATGCTCCCAGTGTTGCATGACTTTCGTTGTCGTAACATATATTTCAATATTACAGCAAGACAATATTTTTCATCCATCATTTTAACATAAATGAAAGCTTCATATTACTTTTTATTCATGACTTTAAAATGGTATATTTTCTCATGGAGGATACATTTGAATTCCTGATTCAAGATTGCTGTTCAACAATTTTTATTATTCTGTATCACAACTTAGTAGTGTTACATCTTTATTTTCTATGAAGATATGGAAGTGATATTGTGTTTATTAAAAGCAATTTTTCACCAAATTTGAGAATTTTGATTTGACTATAAAAACTGCATAAAAGCTGCCATATATATTAATGCCATATATTTCACTAAAGAAAAGAAAGACAAACTTACCACAATAAAAACTGGTTTTGTGGTTGGACCAGGTGCCCATAAGAATTCTGGTGAAAGATAACCATAGGACTTACGCTCATAGTGAAAGACAGTTCCAGCAAACTTCAGTACTTTAGGAAACACTATTCTCCAATTGCCATTCAGATAGTAGTGACCAGTCATATCTCTAACAGCTAGAAGTATATATATATATATGTATGTACGTAGAGAAAAATCATTTAAAATAATGACCACTATAAAAAAACAATTAAAGGTTTTTATGGTAAACAAAGGATTAACCACATATTGTTTCAGTAACCCATTTGCACTGATGCAAGCATACTAGGTATAGTATTGTTTTTCATTTTTGTAGCTAAGATGGATGAACATTTGTTGTTAACAAAGAATTTTCACTTATATACAAATTGTGACGTGCATATACACAGCGTGCTCACAAGTAAATAGACACCACCTTTTCAGAAAAAATTAAATTTTTCAGTCATATTCACATGAATTGATATATTTATAATTTAATTAATATCTAGTAGATCTTCCTTTTGCTTTGTGGAGTTTGTTGATCCTTTGGGGCATCGTGAGAATCACCTCATCAATTTTAGATTGTGGGATTTTTGCCCACTCTTGCTTCAAAACTTGGAGTAGATCGCTCTTCGAAGTTTTTTTTTTATGAACGAGAGAAAGGTTAAGCGATTCTAGGACTAGTAGACAGCTAAGATAGTTGGTGTAATTAGTACACTCTGTTTACTGCTTAGCTTCTATATAATCCAAGGCAAGAGAAATAGCATATAACTCGATAGTGAACACAAAAACAGTAGAGGGGATCCTGTGAACAACCACAAACCATGGCAGAGCCCACAGAGGCACCTAATTTCGAATCAGCTGGGAACAGAAGAATGGTTTAAGAGATGTTCAGCCAAGAGCAAAAGGTGCTTCTAATCGTGATATCCGCCTTCCTCAGATGACTCAAAGAAAGGTCACAGGTGGGGATGGTAATGAGCCATGGCAGGGTGGATTGATCATTGGACTCAGCAACATCATCCAATAACAGACCCAATTCAGTCAGCTGTGTCTGGATACAAAGGCCAAAAGGAGGAATGGCAGACCATCCATTCTGAAACAGCATGGCCCCCGATGAGGAAAGGCACAACCCCAGGTGGGATGCTGTGGTAAGGATCAGAACTTCGTAGCATATTGTAATGAAATTTGCAAGTGGTGGAGGTGAAAAGAATGTTTGTTGAACTTGGTGTATGGATTCTGGACTGGCGAAGTGCAAAAGGCCTCGTGCAGAGCCAAAGTCCCAGATATTGAACAGGGTCCAACATCTTCAAGGCAGAGGGCCTAACATAACCATAAACCAGAGGCCCATAGTTCAGCTTGGAATGTATTAGAGCATGATAGATCTTCAACATAGAACATCTATCCACTCCTCAAGAGGTGGAAGAGAGAACATGGAGGATGTTCAGTTCTCTTGTACACTTGACACAAAGCTGCTTGATGTGAGAAAAGAAAATAAGCTTACAGTTAAAGATAAGCCCCAAGAACCTTGCCTCAGGAACCATGGGAAGAACAACAACATAAATATGGAACTCAAGATCAGGGCATAAACCCCATTGGTGGCAAAAATGAATGCAAACGGTTTTGGAGAAAGAAAAGTAGAAACTGTTTGCTGTGGTCCACTTCAACAAACTGCTGTTCAATAAACCTTGTGTTTGATGACTGACAAGAAATGTGGAAGTCATCAACATAGAGGCTGTTTGCAACAGTAGGAGGAAGTTGTTTGGTGATAACATTGAACTTGATACTGAAAAGAGTCACACTCAAGACACAACTCTGAGGGACTCCAAGTTTCTGTGTGAAGGATGGGAAAGGGTCGAACCCACATGGATTTGGAATAATCTGCCATGTAAAACGTTACAAATAAAAATGGATAAATGGCACAGCATCTCATAGTGAATGTGTCAAGTCTAACTGGGGTACTGCCTGACCAATAAAGAGCAAGCTTAAGTTCTACTAATGTAAATGGCTAATTATAATTGTAGAGATGATCTGTCCAAAAGAGGCGATTGCTCAACCAGAGACTTGATAACCAAGAAGGCAGGGAAAGAAACAGAAGTGTTGGAGAGATAAGCTCTCCCCAAGAGTATTGACAAAATACTGAATATCATGAACTTCCTGCCCATTGGAGAGCAAGATGGAAAGAATACTTCCCACTGACCTTCCAAATCTTGTCCCAGATGACTTTGGAACAGGTGGTAAAAGATATGCTGGTGCTGAACTTAATCCAAGATTTCTTTTGGCTTTGACATGCTGAACATGAGCAAGAAATGTGGTTGAAAAGAGTGAAAGGTATCCCAGGCCCGTTTCTGAGCCTTCCATGCCTTCTCAGTTCATTATCCGATTGGAAACATTGGACTCCTATCATAACATTTTGCACTGTTTCTCAGTTCATTATCTGATTGGATATGTTGGAATTCTAACAAGATATTTCACACTAACTCTCAATTTATCCAATTCGACTTTTTGTACTTCTATCAAGTCATTTCACGCTGTTTCTCACTTTTTTTACCTGACTGGACTTGTTGGATTTCTCCTCAGTTATTTCACATTATTTCTCAATTTGTTATCTGATCAGATTTGTACTTCTCATTTGCCATTTCACACTAAATTTGATTTCTGACTGGAATTGATGGATTTCTAATCATTTGATACTGTTTCTCAATTTGTTATCTGACTGGACTAGTTGGGCTCTTCGAAATCTGATTAGACTTGTTGGAATTCTAATACAAGTCTAAAATGCGTGTAAAGAAATATTAATTTGTAGGAAAAATAAACTATTCTCTCTCCTGAACAATAAAATCAACTATTTCCACTCACTTAAAAAAAAAAACATCCACTATTTACCTATAACACTCATACACTTAAAACCTACATTACACTCTATCTTCTACTTACATAAAACACTGATTCACTTAAAACCTCTACCACTTAACATCACAATCTACTTACCTAAGACACTCATTCACCTTAAACTTCTACCGCTTAACATCACAAGCTACTTACCTAAGACACTCATTCACCTTAAACTTCTACCGCTTAACACCACAATCTACTTACCTAAGAATACCCATTCACCTTAAACTTCTACCGCTTAACACCACAATCTACTTACCCAAGACACCCATTCACCTTAAACTTCTACCGCTTAACACCACAATCTACTTACCTAAAAGATCCATTCACGTTAAACTTCTATCGCTTAACATCACTAACTACTTACCTAAGTAGTTGTTTGTTGGTTTCGTCTCTCTTATTTTAATGTTAGTAGAACCCACTGGAATGAGGATGATGTCGTTATAGCCTGGAAATAACAGACAAAGAGTTAATTTTGAGTTAATACGCTGTCATTAAAACAATCAATTCAGAATGATAAAGGCATTAAAAGAACTACATGAAACTGAATAGCTACAGAGATTAATTTTAGGCAGGCGGGCATCATCTCAATAGAAAAATGATTTCCCTGCTAGATATCGTTTGGATGATTTTGAAATATAGCTCTACGGATTGAACGTACTGTGTAACTTAGTTTTTAATCATAAAAAATTAGCGACTTATGAGATCATAACAGATTGGGTTAAATAATAACATATTAAGTCGCAAGTCAGAATATCTCTTATCCATACTAAATACCATCACGATATTCTTCACTTGTACGTATTAAAGTAGCACAAAATAAGGTATGCGTACCAATGTCTATTACAATCAATGATGAAAGGGTATCAATTCAAAACTGAGACATAAAAAAGGAGTAATCGTCTCGCTAGAACAATGTAATTTACTAATACTAATATAATTAAGTTTTGTTATGATATGATATTAATAAATTATCCTCTTGAGCTAATCAAAAACCATACTGCTTATTGAAATTTCTGACGTATTTTTCCATTAAGTTTGAATAGTTTCGTTTTGGGTTTACTTACTGATTAAGTATTATTTTATAACAAGTTACAACTTTTGCACTGACAAATGTTCCATACCGTAAAAACTGTAACCTCTAATAAAATAAGTTTGAACATAATTATCACACTGATAGGCTCAAATAACTAAAATATAGGCATCGTTTCAGTTATAGGTCATTAAGTGATGCAGAAAGCTCTATGCTTAATTATAGTATTTTGGCACTTGTGTATA